AGGGATGTGCTAGGATTCCAAAACCAGTCTTGCAACCTGCCTCCAACAGTGATGCTGACTACTGTGGCAATCAGCAGCTCTCTTATCATTAAGCCACCTGAAAAATAGTTCTACAGTAAAAGGATTTAGTCACCTGTCATTAGTTGGTTCTGATCACAAATGCTATTATTTGGCTACATCTGGTCAGCAAAGCATTTGAAGGTCTGCTTTGGATGTGAGAGTGACTTCTCCTTCCTAGTAATGCCTTTTGTACCATCTTCTTGTATGTAGCTATATTGTAGCTAAATATATGCCTGCTTGTCACTGTCTTAGTTTGGGTTTTCCAGAAGTTAACCCTAGGACAAAGATTCAAGGTCAAGGAATTTATTTTAAAGGTGATCCCAGGAGACACTGGTAGGGGAGGAAGGCAGGGAAAAGAAGCTATAAAAATATTATTACCAAGCAAGTTACTGGGTGAACTCTGGGAAACAGAGTATTACACAAATCTCAGAGTTACAGCACCTGAGGAGTGAGGAAATTGTGATGCTCATTTCCAACAGCCATTGGTTGACGGCCATTCCTCTGTAACATTAATTCTATGACTATATGGGGGAAAATGAACCTTAATTTCTACTTCATTTTACACAAACAATTTAATGCAAGAAAGAGAATATGCCTACCCTGGCTGGGTGTCTCAGTTGGTTGGAGCATCATCATGTACACCAAAAGGTTGGGGGTTCAATTCCCTATCAGGGCACATATCTAGGTTGAAGTTTCATCCTCAGTCGGGGCATGTATAGGAGGCAACCAATCGATATTTCACTCTCAAATAAAAATATAAAATAAAAAATAAAAAAACACCAACAAACAAAACTATTGTCAGGTGAGCATTGAAAGAAGGAAGGAAGGAAGGAAGGAAGGAAGGGAGGGAGGGAGGGAGGGAGGGAGGGAGGGAGGGAGGGAGGGAGGGAGGGAGGGAGGGAGGGAAGGAAGGAAGGAAGGAAGGAAGGAAGGAAGGAAGGAAGGAAGGAAGGAAGGAAGGGCATATGCCTAGATGTAAGAGATAGAACTATAAACTATCTACAAGAAATCAAAGGAGAATATGTGTAAAACCTTAGGACAGGCAAAGATTTCTTACCCAGAAAGAACAAATAAAATGCACCTGAAACTAATAAATTGAACTTCATTCAGAGTAAAATAATTCTGTCCTTTGAAAAACATTAATAAGAAAATGAAAAGGCAAGTCATAGCATAGGAAATAATACTTTCAATTTATCTCACCAAAGACTATATCTATAATATACAAAGAACTCTGACAAATCAATAATGACAAAAGATTGGAACAGACATTTCATAGAATACAATATACAAATGGCTAGTAAGACATTTGAAATGGATCTCAACATTATTCATCATCAGGGGAATGCAAATTAATGAGATACTACTATACATCCATTAGAGATGCTAAAACTAAAAAGGCTTGACAATCCAAATGTCAGTGAGAATAATTGGAACTCCTATATTTTTCTGGTAGGAGTGCAAAATGGTACAACCACTATGGAGAACTCTTTGGCAATTTTTTGTATTGTTTTTTATAGGATTAAACATGTATCTCTTTTGAGTCCAGAAATCCCACTCCTAGGTATATATTGAAGACAAATAATAGCACATATCTACAAAAATACTGGTACAAAATGTTTATAACAGCTTAACCAACAGAAAACAACCCACACATCCACTAACAGGTGAAGAATTAAAAAACTGTAATATCTTACAACTAGTAGCCTTGCACATGAATCCATGCGCCAGTAGCTCACCAGTAGCTCACTGCCACCCTCCTGTAGTTCCCCCTACCCCTCATTCCCTTGACCCTTCTCACAGCTTGCTGCCCTGCTCCCTTCTATAGCTCTACACCACCTGCTTGTAGCCAGTAGCTCTCTGCCCACTACCCAGCCCTCCTGTAGCTCCCTCTACCCCTTGCCCCCCATAGCTTGTTGCCCTGCCCCCTCCTGTAGCTCTCCACAGCCTGCTTGTTGCTCACTGCCCCACCCTCCTGCTGATCGGTGATCTGATCATTATGTGGTTGGTCATTATGCTTCACAGGGTAACAACCGTTTGCATGTTACATCTTTATTATATAGTATAGAATGTAAAAGGATGAAATACTATACACACACCAATATGGATGAAGCTAAAAGACAATTATATTGAACAAAAGAAACAGATACAAAAGAGTACATTATGTGTGGTTTCATGTATATTAAGTCCAGAACAGAAAAGCCACACTATAGCGATAAAAATCAGATCAGTGATTGCCCTTGGGAGTTGGAAATTGACTGGAAGGAGGAACTCCTAAGGGAATTTGGAGCTTTTAAAAAATATTCTGTATCTTGTTTGGAATGGTGGTTCCATGAGGGTATGTAGATGTCAAATCTCACCTAATTGAACATTGAAGATCTGTGCTTTTTATTTTATAAAATTATAACCTAATATATATTGCAGATTTATCTTTAAAAAAGAAAACACAACAGCCCTAACTGGTTTGGCTCAGTGGATAGAGTGTCGGCCTGCAGACTGAAGGGCGCCTGGTTCAATTCCATTCAAGGGCATGTACCTTGGTTGCGGGCACATCCTCGGGGGGTGGGGGGTGCGGTGCAGGAGGCAACTGATGGATGTTTCTAGCTCTCTAGCTCTCTCCCTTCCTCTCTGAGAAAAATCAATAATATATATATATTTTTAAAAACACAACAGCCATTAAAATATGAAGTAATTTGCTTCATTTTCTGTTTTCCCACTAGATTATAAGCTTCAGAAGGTTAGAAGCCACATATGTTTTTTTCTCTATTATCTCTATTATATCCCCAGCACCTAGTACAGTGTCTAGGATCTCTTGAATTTGTTACTATCATAGGTTTTTAATGAGCCTCTGTTATAAACGGTAGCTTTCAATCTCTCCTTGCAGACATGGTCTGTTCTTGGCAAATGCTTGTTGCCCCAGAAGTTTGAGCACAGGTGTATTGTCTAGGATGGGAGCTTAAAGATGGGAACCCAGCAATGCCCTAGGTGTCCTTGGGCACTGATAGGTTCCCAACTGTGAACACCATCTGCTCTTGTGAAAGGTGTCTGACAACATCCACAGCCCTGGACCTGGAAGGTGAGAGCCTCTGAGACCAAATGTCAGTCTCCCACTTCCATCCTTCTGCCTGTAGGGAGCCACAGGAAGTAATTTTAACCCTGCAAACGAAAAGTACCAACATGTGTGCTGCCTTGTAATTTACCAAGTATTTTTCCACAAATGATGTTATTTTATCCTCCCTATGATCCTGTAGGTAGGTATTTACTAATCCTATTTTACAAGAGGTTAAGTGATTTCCCTGAGGTAACACAGTGGTAGGGCTGGGCTTGAAACCAAGTTTCTGACCATTTACTACTATATTAAATGCACTACGGCTGTGCCATTTAAGGACCTTCAGCAGTTTCTGAAATCTGACCTCTTCAAGCTCTACTGGACTAATAAAAAGATAAGTGACAAATATCCCTTGCCTTGGATAAATAAATTTCAGGAGCAATTTATTCTATATGCACTGAAAAATTAGCCTGCCTGGACAACCATTATGATAGTCACTGCCCCATGCAAATTTTCCATGCTCCTCACCACCTACAAAGTTCGCTCTTTTTAGCTGCTCTTCAGTGCTCTTCTACCCAGCTTACCTTTGTGGCCTCATCCGCCCCAAACCTTGCCTTCTGGCTGTATGACACTATCCTCATCTCTGCAACTCTTGCTCCTAAACTTGCTCTTGATATGGAATCCCAGGGTTTTTTTTTTTCCATCTTCACTTGGGAAACTTTCTCACCCTTCAAGTTAGGACTGAAATGCCACTGCCATTCTCATTCATAGTTTTTACTTCATCTGAATCCTTTGAGCCCATAGTTTATACCTTTCACATGGCAGTGGCAGTGCCTTCCTTATTAGATCCTGAGGTACTAAAAGGCTAGATGCATGCCTTAACCATTTCTGTCCACTATGGTGGACTAGCATAGCTGCATACTGTACATATTTAATCAGTGCTATGTAGAGTGAATAAATTACCACTTCTCTAACTATTGTGCATTTAATACCCTTTGACATGTATAGTTTTTTTTAAAAATGTTTGCATTATAACTTTATTTTATGAATATGGTTAATGGAGCCCCCACTTTCTATATACATTGCTTCTGATTGACAGACTGGATTTGACAGACTAAATTCTTTGCAAGTGGAGTGGATATATGGACAGATTGTGGAGTAGAAGTACACTTCTACTCTGGCTGTGTAACCTTGGACAAACTGCTTCTTCTCTTAGGGGCTTATTTGACCTCCATCTGTTCAATAGGGGAAATAATCCCTATTTTGCTTTTTTATTTAATCACCAGAAATAACAGATGTAGACTACAGATCTCCCAGACCTGCCACTTAATTGACCTACTGTTTGAGACACCTTTTTGATGGCAGCATTACATCCAAAAGTTCTCTTTTGGAAAGAACTTGGTGAGCTGAAGGCAATATATCTAGGAGGCTGCAGTATGATGAGGAAATAATCCTACTGGAGGTTGAGTTGTGGTGGGTTAGAGGTGGCAGGGTCGTTATCACCTGAAAGGTTGCTGCGCTGAAGGAGAACACACTGGTTTCGGCAGCCTGAGAGAGCGGTCTCGTCCTGCATACGATTACCGGGCGTTGGCCAGTTTTCGTAAATGTCTCCTGAGGGAAGGTGAGGGCCAGAATACTGCAAAGGTGGAATCAACTATCACTGATAGGTGGCCCAGGCACACTTCCAGTTGGAAGTCACCACCTCCACTTAGCCCTCCAAGAGGACAAGGCCCCTCGAGGCCCAGAACCCCACCCACAACCCGAAAGCCCTTGCGGGAGGCTTTAGCGCCTGCCCATTGGCTTGCACTCAGGGGAAGGCAGGCCCTACACCACCGCTCTTCCTGATTGATCAGCTGCGTGATTGGCAGACGCCCGCTGGCTGTGAGGGCCAGACATGGCGGAGGAGGCGGGGAGAAAGCAGGCGCGCCTCGGGCTGCCAGGTGGAGTCGCGGCCCAGTGGCCTCTGGAGCGGTATGGGCGTTTCATGCCCTTGGGCACAGGAGAGCCATCTGGACCTGGCCTGGAAGCTGGGATGGCCTCTTCCCCTTCGTGGAAGGTGAGGCCTGAGGGCAGGAAAGGCCGCGAGGCGCTCGGAGGGGACCTTACAGATGGTCCCGAATGCCACGGAGAGAGGAGGAGGGGACACCGAGGGATTGGCAGGAATGGTTAGCAGACAGCTAACAGAAAATTAATAGATAGTAGTATAAGGCATGATTGAAACCCAATACGTTCTCAAATAACTTATTCAGAGATATCTTTGAATATCAATTATGTGTTAGATATTATTCAGGAGATTGGGACATATCAGTGGACAAAATATAAATGATCTCTACCCCCATTTATGTTTTTAGTCTAGTGGACAACTAGTACTTATTTAAATAGCAGTATAATTATGTAAACCAATTCCACATCCCTTATGTGGAAGGGAGGTTTGGATAGTCCAAGTTATGGAAGCCAAGCCTTCACACAGAAGGACTCAACTCGAATCCTAGCATTGCCACTGAATACCTGTGACCTTCGTGAAGTTACTTATCCTCCCTGTACCTTAGTTACTTTATCTTAAAATAGAGATTATAATAATACCTACTTCATCAGATTGTTGTATTGAGTATATTTAAATATATAACTCATCTAAAAGAGTTCCTCGTCTAAATTATATAAGTTTATTATTATTATTATTATTATTATTATTATTATTATTATTATTATTTCTTGCCCTAGTGTTATGTTTTAACACTATGGGTTACTAAGAAGTCAGCTCCTTTTGGTCTATTTTAATTATTGCATGTGGCCTGTGGGGTTTTGGGTTATGAGCGCGTGTGTGCGTGCGTGCGGGGTGTGTGTGTGTGTTGTGATTTGGGCAGCCGTGGGTAGAAGAGTAAAACAAAACAAATAGTCCAGGTAGAGGACACAACGTGTGCAAAGACCCTGCATCTGGAGAAACCTTAGCATGTGTAATGTACATAGAAAAAGAGTAGGGCTAGTGCTTATGGAGAACAAGGGGAATGATAACATGAGATGAGGTTCTCTGGAGAGGTATACATAGATACCTTATGAACATTGTCCTAAAACCAATAGGAAGCCACTGAAGGGTTTTAAGTAGGGGTATTTTCACCTTTGGAAGATCACTCTGGCTGAAGTATGGAGGTGAAATTGGAGAGAAATATGAGTAGATTCAGGAAGGTCATTTATAATGTTATTGCAATGTGGTAGGTGATAATGACTTAGACTGGAGGGTAAGGGTGAGAAGGGAGGATGGCAGTAGAAGTGGGAAACTAAGCACACAAAATCTATCTTTTGGAAGCAAAAAGGACAGGATTGGAGATTGATTGGATGGAGTGGTGAGAATAAAAGACTTCTGGGTTTCTAGCAGGAGCAACTGGGTAGATAATTTGGGGATGGAAGACAAACAGTGAGGGAATAATCCAAGACTTCAGTTTTTAGTGAGTTGAGTTTAAATATATTTATGAAGCATCCAGGTGGAGATGTTGAATAGGTAGTTGGATGTACTGGTCTAGACTCAGAAGAAAGATCTGATCTGAAGATGTAAAAGTGTGATGGGCATGGAAGTGTGTCATCAGCATGAAAGGGATGTTTATAGTTATGAGATTATCTGAGATTCTAGGAAACAAGTCCCAAGGTAGCATTTGTAGGTTAGGTAGAGGGTACAGAGTCCCTTAAAGTTTGACAAGGAACAGAGTTGTTAGGCACCCAGGAGAGTTATTTTAAGAGGGACAGAACAAAGAGAAAATGATGACTATAGCATGTCCATTGGATTTAGTAGCACGAAGGTCCTTATGGTCTTTACCAAGAGAAATTTTAAGAGGAGTAGAAACCAGATGGGGTGAGCTGAAGAGTGACTGTAGGTGAAGAAGTGGAGCCAATGTGCATAGTTGAAAGACTTTGCTATGAATGTGAGTAGAGAGGGGGCTTAATGAATTGTTCACCAAATTCTAGAATATTAAAACTAGGGGCACTACTTAAAGCTTAAAAATCATTATATCTAGGAGCATAAAAAGGCATTAAATACCTAGTTGTATTCTTGTGGAATGCTGTACCCTGAAAAATTATATAGGCTGCAAATGCAAAATGGGGTGAATAAAGAGTTAAACGCAAGAATAACTTAACTATAAAAAGATCTTATACAGGTTGTCCCCCCAAAAAATATCTACACACCTTATCAGTTAATATGGCAACTTTGAAAATGCAATGTATTTTAATAAACACTGCCTTTATGATTGTTCAAAGTTATGTGTATACATTTTTGGGACAATATATATATATATATATATATATATATATATATATATATATACACACACACACATACATACAAACTAACTTGGGGAGTTTAAGGGCATATTTAATTTTTGAGACTACCCAACAAATTCCTTGATACCTGTTCTTAACACCATATAAACCCATTCTCCCGAAACATCTGGTTTGGGTGCATTGGTACAGATTCAGGGTTAATTCTTAGATTCATCCTGTAAACCAGAGGCCATGGGCATTTGACCATTTGAAGTTGATTGTCATTACATCTTTCCCCTTCTTTTTGCAAAACTCTTCATAATTAATTATACAGAATAGCACTTTTCCAGTTTTCAAATATGCAGCATAAAGCCAGGCTGCAATGAAAATAAATGAGGTTGCCGAAACCGGTTTGGCTCAGTGGATAGAGCCTGCAGACTGAAAGGTCCCGGGTTCGATTCCAGTCAAGGGCATGTACCTGGTTGTGGGCACATCCCCAGTAGGGGGCATGCAAGAGGCAGCTGATCAATGACTCTCATTGATGTTTCTAATTCTCTATCTCCCTTCCTCTCTGAAAAAAATCAATAAAATATATATATTAAATAAAGAAAGAAAATAGATGAGGTTGGCTTTTGTAATGCTTTTGAAAAGTGAACATTTGTACTTTCTTTTGAATCTTTGCTAAACCATCTTTCCTCCTGTGATCAGTTTCAGCTTAGGTCTGTAATTTTTTTTTTTTTTTTTGAAAAACGAACGAGAAAATAAGATTTGTTCTGTTTTGCAATAATAATAATAAAAGGTGAGCCTTCTAAAGCACTACACTAAGTTCCATGTGAATTTCTTATTTTAAAAATGCGCTACTCTTAGTAAAAAAAATGGTACGTGAAGTATAAAAATATATTATTTTGGTCCTGGCCAATGTGTCCAGTGGTTGGAGCATCGGCCTGGGTCGATTCCCAATCAAGGGCACGTACCTCATTTGGGGGTTCACTCCCTGACACACCCCTCCCCCATGGAGTATATGTAGGAGGCAAACAATCGATGTGTGTATGTGTCCCTCCATCCCTCCTTTCCTCCTTTCTTTCTATTCCCCTTCCCTTCCCTTCCCTCCCCTTCCCTCCTTCCCTCCTTCCCTCCTTCCTTCCTTCTCTCTCTTTCTCTCCCTCCCATCCTTTCACTCTCTCTCTGAAAAGCAATGGAAAAAAATATCCTTGAGTGAGGTTTACAACAACAACAACAAATTATTATTTTGAAGGATAGAGTCATTCTGGTCTTTTTTTTTTTTCCCCCCTACTAAGGAACTTTCAAGTTCAATCTTAGTTGAACCTATTTTGAATCTTTCCCATTTTTCCAAAATTATGTGGAGAATCTGATCTCCTAGTATTTTATTTGTTTAACTACAGAGAATACTTTCACCATAATGGTTACAAAGATGTTGAATCAAGAGAAAAAATGAATAGTACAATAAGAAGTCTGTGACATACTAGTAAACAATCTATATAAAATAACATGTATATATTGATTTGACTTATCTGAATTGAATTATTCTTGTTAAAAGTTACTATCTGGACATAAATTAAACACAAATTGAAAGCAAATAAACTTTTTGTAACACTATAAGAAAAATCAACAGTTTAGAACCATGTTATTCAGATTTCAAGGCTTATAGAAATCACTTGGGGATTCTTTTTTAATGCAAATCCTGATTCAGTATGGGAACTAAAATTCTGTAGTTCTGACCAGCTTCCAAGTGATGCTGATGCTGTTGATTCTAGGACCACAGTTTGAGGGGCAAAAATTAAGAAGAATGAAATGGGCAGCCATGAGTAAAATTACTAAAATGAATGAGGTAAGACAATCAGTTTCAAAATAAATATGCAAATGTTTTCCTAATAGGATTAATATTTAAACCATTTGCCATTTAAGGGGAATGAGAAAATAAAATACAAACTTGAACTTCATTTTAATTCCTCACATCTGTTAGCCCAGCCCTTCTAAAAACGATGGTCATAATAACAGAACGGTCCATTTAATGTATTTTATGTCTGAATATAATTCATTTTAATTTGAGAATAATTTTGAAATGTGATGTTAATTGCAGGTTGCTTTCAAATTAAAGTTTTCCAGATTCCAAGGATTTCTCAGATATGCCCTAATTTGGTTGAAACAACTTATTTTTTCATTTCAAAGGGGAAAAAAATCATTCTTTAATTTTGATAGGAGGAACTTAAAATAATTACTCTACTTATAAATTACAAAATAGAATGTGAAGTACTTGAAATGAACTTTAAAGTGTGAATTCAGCACAAGATATATTTTGAGTCCTCTTAACTGTCCTTTTTTTCTCTGTATTCTTAGTGCTTACATATTTCCTAGCATATGATAAGAATGGTAAATGTTTGACTGAATGGTAACCTTTCTGAACTTTTTATATAATAATGTAATAATTATGACATCATAGCTACTATTTATTAAGTATTTACTTTGGCAAATTTTTTACAGTGGCCCTAAGAAGCAAATATTTTTATATCCATTTTATAGGTAAGTGAAACTAAATCAGAGGTTCAATGGCTTACCCAGGAATATAAAAGTAATGAGTGGGAAGAAAGAATTCAGATTCCATGTTTCCTGTTTCCAAAGCATGTACTTTTAACCCATTATAATGTTTGTCTTAGAAGTGTCAATATTTTTAAAAAATATTTTGTCAAAGTTTTTATTAAGAATACACTTGAAACAACAGAATTATGAAAAAGAAATTTTGAGATATTATCATCATAATTTTTTATTCATGAAAAGCTTCAGAAT